GTCTGGCTCAAGATATCATTAGGAAAATATGTGAGTGGACTGTATGTGTATGTTTTATGTATGTTTACATACAGTATGTATGTACTTAATGCATGTTTATGTGTTTGCCATTCCGATTATTGTCTCATTTTTGTTTTTTATTATTAGAATTTTTAGTCTTTATCTTTCGTCTGTTTCTGTCTGACATTCTTTTTTTTTTAAGAACTAGTCAACATTTAGAGAGAGAGAGAGAGAGAGAGAGAGAGAGAGAGAGAGAGAGAGAGAGAGATTAAAATATTTTTTGTTAAACCAAGAGATTCATGATTGTCTTATATTTCTGTTTTTTTATTATTTTAATTTTTAGTCTTTATCATTCGTCTGTTTCTGTCTGTTTGGCGTTTTTTTTTATATAATTTCTTTAGAATTGCGATGGCTACCAGTGGTGCTAAGAAGCGGAAGTACAATGATGACATTAACTACGGATTTACATCAATCCTCGCTGTTGGCATCGAGAAACCTCAGTGTGTGTTGTGTCTCAAAGTGCTGGCGAACGATTCCATGAGGCCCAGTAAGCTGAAGCATCATCTGACGACAATCTACCCCAGCATGCGGAGAGAGACCCCGATTTCTTCAAGCGCCATGAACGGAGTTTGGGAAAACCAGTGCCGGATTAACCATGAGGCACTTGAGGCACTAGCCTCAAGCCCCCCGACTCTAAGGGGCCCCAAATCCAAACATTCTCGAAGTTGAAGCGTATAAAACATGAACTCAGGCCCCTATTAAGCTTAATCCGGTCTGTTTTCCCGGAAAACAGAGATTGGGTAAGAGTGGTGCCTTCCAACAACAAACTTAAGTGTAGTTGAGGCATCATATGAGGATTCCACTGAAATAGCAAAGAAGAAGGCCCACACGATTGGTAAAGCTTTAATTAAGCCGTGTGCTTTGAAGATGGTCAAGCGGGTTTTTGGAGAGGCAAGTGAATGTAAGATTCAGCAGATTTCCTTGTCAGACGACACGGTGAAACGGATGTGAGCTCTTGTGCACAGCTACTCGTGTTTGTTAGGTATGTATTCTTGCGTGACATCAAGGACGAATATCTGTTCTGTACACAGCTTGAAACTACCACAACAGCTTTAGATGTGATGGAGAAGTTGACTTCTTTCTTCACAGCTAATGGGATCACCTGGGAAAATTTTTGTGGACTCTGTACTGATGGGGCTCCGGCGATGCTGGGATCGAAATCGGGGTTAAAGAAGCACGTCAAGGAAGTAGCTCCGAATGCCAAAGGGGTTCTTTGTATGATCCATCGTTTTGCACTGGCGTCGAAAACCCTCCCTGATGCCCTTTGCAAGATCCTGGAGGCAGTGCTAAAATGCGTCAACTTTGTGAAAGCAGGAGATTTGAACTCTCGCCTTTTCCAGAACCTCTGTAGAGGCATGGATTCAGAGCATGAAATCCTCCTCTTTCACTCCAAAGTGCGATGGCTCTCCATGGGTAATTTTGTGAATCGAGTGTTCGAACTTTGGGGAGAACTCAAGTTGTTCCTGGAAATGAAAGGGAAGGATGATCTACTAAGTCACTTCAACGAGGTGTTGTGGGAGCCACCTCTTGCGTACCTGGCAAACATATTTGGGCAGCTAAACAGGCTGAATCTCAAGCTACAAGGCAAGGAAAGAAATGCGTTTCACCACACGGATTGTATTCGTGCATTTCTTGACAAACTCCTGAACTGGCAAAGGAGAGTCAGTGCAGGAAATGTTGCCATGTTTGAGAATCTCTCAACTGTTCTTGACGATATTGAAGAGGATCATTTACTTGACCCATCGCTCAAAAATAAAATAATTCAGCACTTGAAATCCTTGGAAAGTAAGCTCAAAAGGTACTTCCCAGAATTCGAGGAGGAAGAAGGGAAATTGGTGAGGAATCCTTTCTCTGGCACTCTTGATATTGCTGCCATGCCCGACGATGTTCAGGACGAATTCCTTGATCTCAGGAACGATTCTGCTGCCAGAGACCTCTATGAAGAAAAATCTCTGACTGTATTCTGGTGCTCAATGTATCAGTCATATTCAAAAGTTAGTGAGATCGCACTTCGAGTCCTCTTGCCATTTTCTACTACTTATTTATGTGAATCTGGTTTCTCCACCCTTCTTCAAATGAAGAATAAAACCAAAACCGGTTACATGTGAACCCAGACATGAGATGTGCTTTATCAGTGACTCAATCTCGAATCGGTCCTCCATCCCATTGAACTGTAACAAAATATGCATTCTGTTTGATAATTGTAAACATTAAAATAAAGGAAGAGTACCAAAACAGTTTATTTTCATCATTATTTGTGAGGGGCTTGGTGAGATAACTGAAGGGGGGCCACGAGGATGTTGAGAGTTCCTCATGGGGGGAATGGAGTGAAAAGGTTTGAGAAATTCTATGAGAGTAACTTCTTTTAAGGACCAATTGGTTTCACATATTCCTCAACTGGAAGCTCACAATCAAGGAAGAGATGTTTTGCAAGCATTCCAAGAGGATGTAGGCTCCATCCTGGCTGAGGTTGGCAAATACAGTGAAGCTGTTCATTTGGCCAAGGCTGCAACAATAAATAATACGGTAGGATATGATCAAACACAAGTTAAGATTCCGAACCATACTTGATGATAGAAGTAATGAAGAGACTGTTCGTTCATCACTTCTCCAATTAATATGTATGATTGAACATGACGCAGACTGTTATCACCACGTGCCGGCCACAGGTTGATTGAAGAAACTGTTGACAACTCAGGATAGCTTATTAAACGAGATGGAGCTGGTAGCAGCTGTATGACTGCCTGAAGGACAGTCTATCGGCTTCTACCGTAGAGACAACATCTTAAACTTTCGTTCAACCAACATCTACCAGGAGGATATTATATTTGTTCTCTTAGATCAAACCCTAGTCCCTAAAACCGGAGTGTGATTGTGAACTATTAAATCCTCTAAGAACTCTAAATAACTTTAATAAGTGTATTTATGTACTGTATATTGATCATATTATACAAATTATCTCCTGATGTATCAGCAGCTGTAACATGTGAGTTATATTTAAGAGGTTAATAGGTTACGTACTGTATATTGATCGTGCTATTCATACTGTGTGTTCTGATATAACAGCATTTGTTAAATGTGAATTGTTCTTTAACAGGGTTTGACCGAATTATACTCATCGCGTCAACGACAAGGGTCTTATTCTCCTGCACAAACCAAAAATCGCTCCTATGAGCGGTTAAACAGACATTAAATCACAAATTCAGCCTGGAGCATCTAATTCAGTTCTTGCTATGGTACAGCTCTTGCAGTACAACTGTTTTGCTAAGTACAAGGAAGGAGCACAGTCTCACAGACACTCTAAGGATCGCGGGACCCCATTTTGCTGTGTATATTGCCTTGTCTGTGTTTGCAAAGCCAAGGAAAAGATTGCTTATTGACATGCATTTCCTATGATAGGATTCTAGAAATATCTGCCCAACTTGGTGATACTGTTGTTTCCCAGTATGTAGAAGATGGGGTTGTGTGCCCACCTGTTTTGAGAAAGCATCTGTTTACAACATCTGCAATAGACAACATTGATCATAACCCTACTGCAACTACAGCACACACATCTTTCCATGGTACCAGCATCTCTGTTTTCCAGCACCCAAACTTTGACGATCTTGGTGAGGAACGTGAGCCACTTCATGTAGGAACAGTTCCAGTGAAGAAATTTCCTGAACTTCCTGTCTCTTTCACCAGTGTTCCTCCAGCACACATAAAAAAAAATCCTTCACCGTCACCAAGCCAAACACAGCTATTACCAGATCTTTACTCTATAAGACAAATGGATGATGGATGAGTATACTTGGTTTGAGGAGGTTTCTCTGACCGAAGAAATAGACAATGCTGTTTCCATAACATGGACAGCCCATCATGTAACACAGAAGTAAGCATTACATCACCTTTACCCTTAATTAGAGACCAAGCTCATTCTGTTGCAACAATCAAACATGCTATGGATAAAATTAGAGACACTGACACCGGCCAAGTGATTTTTGCAAGAAAGACTGTGATGTAAATGTATCTGCTCCGGTCTCACTTGCACAGGTCTTGTGTGGATGCACAGGCCAGCAGCTGTAAATATGAAAAAAATTTTATACCAATATCTCCCAAGGATATGAACAAATTATAAACATGTTTCTCTTTGTTTAACTAAGAATCGCTTATACTTATTTTTATGAAAACATGTAAAAGTATGTACAGAACCGTTATTTTATGCATAAAAGACATATCTGAGGGTTCCTAAGCAGTCATAATCTGTTCCAGTATGCTTTAAGACAGAGGAATATACACCTTATGCTTATTGATTACCCAACAATAGTCATTATATGTGAAAAATGTTTTCGGCTCGGCAAATTTGGTGGCCATCTTGGAAAATGACCGCCATCTTGGAATTTTGAATTTCCAATCGGATGGATTTGATAAGTAATCCATATTGAATGTTCATACCAAATTTCATGCTTGTATGATCATTTGTATGATTGTACATGTTATCTGCTCCTCTGTTTAGCTCATGGCCGTGCACTGTCTGTGATTGGTTGTAGCATTGTTTGTGGGTCTAATAATGGATTCTGGATTTTTACAGTGCCTTATAGATGAAAGCAGTGAACGTCAATCAACCAGATTTGGCTTAATCATAGTAGTGTAGGTTTGGACACTCATTTGCCGCAAGTGGGACTTTTTTTGTTTTGTCGATTGTAAATTTAAAACCAGGGTTCCAAAAGTGTCCGAACAGTGCAACATAAGAGTGACGCAGCAATAGAAGGAATTTATCCGTCAACAGAGAATAACAAAGGTAAAGGTTAAAGTACTTCCACTTCCTCCAGTGGGACTTGGTACTGATGCTTATACCTTCTCGCTCACTATGTAGATCATACAGGTGTATTTAATTATGATAGATACTGTCTGTTTCCTACAGGTGTGGTCATGTGTGAAGTATGATCTTCTTCTTACAGGTGTGTTCATCTATACAGAGCGTGGTGGGTGGTTGTCTGGCCGATCTTGTGGGTAGCAGGTTTGGAGGACGAAAACTCACTGGTACGTTGATCACTGTTACAATCACACTGATGCTGTTAAGTCAGGTGTATGACTTGGCAGTTGTGAGAAGTTCCTGGCGGGAGTGGAAAGTCCCTGGTAGTTGTGTGAAGGACGATGAAATGAATCACTGCTAACGTGACGTCACTGTCATGTAACAGATGTAATGCATGATGTAGTCGATGGATGCTTGAGAAAAAGTGCGCTCATATGTTTGTTTGTATGTGTGTGATGTGTGTGCACAATATATTTAGTGTAAGATAGGCACTAGGGCTCGGCAGTGGCTTCTACGCATGTGACAAAGGTAAGGAACACGGATGTTAAGATTAGCCAGGATAAATTATTTCCCGTAATAAACTAACCTATCAGATCAAAACACCAAAAGAAACGGTAAGGTTTTATTCGACCGAGAAATACTTCCCCTAACCCAGTCTAAAACACTGTTTTTATTTAATTTTTTATTTTTTTACGGGGAATAGCCCGTAAAAAAAAAAATATATATATTTTAATCTACACCACAAAGATGCAGGAAAACCAGCTTTTTGAAGTGAAACAGATTGCAAGAGTATGGAAACACAGAAGAAGGCAGAGCATTCCAGAGTTTGGCTGTGTGAGGAAAGAAGGATGTAGTATAACGGGTAATTCTAGTGTGACCGACAGCCGCAGAGAAACTGTGGGCACCGCGCGCAAGGCTAGTGTAACGAGCCCACGGCCTTTCCGGCGGTACACAGGATAACTAATCCACCGAACATTGCCCGTTAAAGTACCTGTAAAAGAGAGAGAGTAAAGCAACATTGAGGGGAAAAGAAAGGGAAGAAAGATTATCAACTAAAGGAGGAGAGTTAATAAGACGAAATGCCTTTGATTCCACCCTATCTAACAGTTGGACAGAAGAAGAGCCACCCAAGATATGAGAGCAGTACTCCAAGTTAGGACAAATGAATCCCTTATAAACTTGAAGCAACTGCTCAAGAGTGAAGTAGCTACAGCATCTGTACAGCATCCCCAGCTTTCGGGAGGCAGCATTAACAATGTTGTGGGTGTGTGGCTTCCATGAAATATTAGAGGAAATGGTGAGACCTAGCATATCTATTTTAGAGCTTGGCAGAATGATTGCGTCCTGAAATGTGATTCGTGGGAGATCATCTAATTTGGAAAGTGTGATTGGTAAATACTGAGTTTTATTACTATTGAATTTAACCAAGTTTCTACCTCCCCATTCGGAGATGCTGCATCAGATCTGCATTGATAGATGAAATGATATCAGCTTTAGAAACAGATCTAGTTTGAGAATTAGGGGAAAGGGAAAAATGTGAAAAAGAGTGAAGAGTAGAATCATCGGCATAAGAATGGATAGAATTAGTTATACTGTGAAGTAAATCATTGATAAAAAGAAGGAAGAGAGGAGGTGAAAGAACAGAACCCTGTGGGACACCACTATTGGTAGAGAAAGAGCGAGAGGTCGATCCCTCGACAACAACTGCCATGGATCTGTTCTCAAGGAAGCTAGAAATTAGAGAAAAAAGCGGGGGAGAGAAACCATAAGAGGGAAGTTTAGAAAGCAAAGACTTGTGCTATACTATGTGAAATACTTTGGAGATGTCGAGGGCCACGACGAAAGTTTCCCCATAATCCCTAAGAGAGAATGACCAAAGATGGGTGCAGTAGGAGAGCAGATCACCAGTAGATCTCGCCTGGCGAAAGCCATACTGGCGATCCGACAAAAGAGAAAAGCGTTCAAGGTGACGAAGAAAGTGAGAGTTTAAGATAGTTTCGAAAATCTTAGAGAGGGAAGAAGTTAGGAGTTCCCAAGCTTTTTCTAGCACGACCCCATCCAGTGTTGTCAACTATCCAGTGCGACCCCAAATCATTTCACTGAAGTATTCTTATGACCCCGATCTTGCAGGAAGGATGCCAGTTCACTGCAAAGGAGGAAAACCCTTTCCAAGGTTTTTCCCCGTGACAGCCACCTGACAGCAGTATGCATCAGCAGTGTGTGGCGATTACAATTTTCGGCAATGCACAACTGTTTGAACATGCGGGAATTCAGGTCCTTAGCCTTCACGTAATTGACAGTTGCAATGACTACCTGCATCACATCAGAGAAGCTCTGAAACATGTCTTTTGATGCCAGACTCTGGCGACGGATGATGCAGTGGTTTGTTTTAATGTGAGGATGTTTTCTTGACAAAATTCCACGCAATCCAATGTTCTTGCTCATCATTGATGGGGCACCATCCATGCTGCATTCAGTTACCTTACTTCATTCCAAGTTGCTTTCAGTGAAGAACTTATCTATAGCACTGAAAATATCCTCGCCTCGTGTTGTAGTTTCAAGTGAAATACAAGCAAGCAGTTCCTCAGCTATTGAGGATTCCTTAAGAAATCTTCCGAAGATCAGAAGCTGCGGCTGCCAGGGCTGTCCATGGGGAATTTCTGAAGTCTTCCAAAATTTGCTCTTTCAGTTCTGCTGCAAGACACTGGAGGCGTCTTGTCATTGTGTTATTACTCAAAGTAGCTGTATGTATATTATGTATGCTGTATTATATATTATGTATGTATATTATGTATGTGCTCCATTTATGTACTATTTATTCAGCCTAGCTAGCAGTGTGTGGCAATGTATTTAAGATGTCCCACATGCTTAATTAATGTGCCTGGCGACGTATGGAAGCTGCTAATGTATCACTTGCCATACGTCGTCTATAGAGCAGTTGACGAGCAGACAGGTTGAGGAGTGGTACTCTCCTTGTGTACATATCTCTTATCCAGTAAATCGAACCTACAAAATCTATACAGGTGTTGGTGTTCGCTCCTGTATATTGAACTTATTACCCAGAACATTGAACATGGCGCAGTGCGTACTTTTACTGGATAATTACGAGTGATAGTGCAAAGTTTGTGGAAAGCCGGCTTATGGACCCCTTGCCCTGTGTCAACCGCCGCCCGCCACCCCTCCTCGAAGAATTTAGCAACTTTGTGCAGTGTCAGTGACAGTGATTTTCTGTGAAGTGTTTAGTGCATTGTGTGTTTCGTGCCATTCATGTGTGACCTTGTTCTAAAGGATTCCCAAGGTACACGGCATGTTCTGGGCATTTGTAAGGAGTAGACTTCAGTACACCTCCCCTCGCGAAGCCTGGAGGGTAACTGCCGCTAGTCGTCTTCTCCACCCCCCTCACAGCTCGAGAAGACTGCTCCCACCCAGACGCGCGCACACACACATACATGTACTAACACTCACTGACCGCGGCGGCTTCCTTATATATATTTTATATATATAATCTACTTATCTGTGTATTTAATTAATTTTTTGTCTGAAATCTTGTTGATACGACGGGCTGACCGGTCAACACTGATTTAGACACAGTACACAGATGAAGTAGTTATGTCTCGTGCCTTATGTAGCCGTGGAGTGAGCGTCCGGATGAGTCAGTCGGATGATAGCCCCGCAGAGATGGATGACCAGGCTGACCATGACGCTCCAGCTCCCACAACATCGCGCAGCCCTTCACCTCCATATTCAGCGTTGTCTCCAGAGATAATTGCTTTAATGAAGTTTATGAGAGATGAAAGGCGCGAGGATGAAGCTAACAGACGTGTGGCGGATGAACACAGAAGGCAAGCAGAGGCAGAGAGAGACCACCAATGGAGATTGGAAGACAGTGCACGGTTTGAAGCTTTGATAACTCGCCTCACTGTTAACCAAGTCCCTGGCTCTAACACTGCCTCGGTACTGACTGGTTCAGATACCTCATCAATGCTTCCTTCACGCCCCCCAGCCCCACCTAAAGCAGCAGCTCAAACACCGCCCATCTTGAAGCCTGATGTGAATTTCCAGACTTTTCGTGAATGGCGGCGACGGTGGACTGATTATTCTACAATGGTGGATCTCCAGAGTTTGTCACAGCCTAAACAACTCATCCAGCTGCGTATGTGCCTGTCCTTGGAAATTCAGCGTGTCTTAGAACATACGTTGCAGGTACCTCCGACCTCTTCGCTGTCTGTAGAGGAGGTACTGGACATTCTACAACGGCACATCAAAGGACAGCAGAATGAAGCTCTGCGCAGGAGGGAATTGTTTAGCTGCAGACAGATGGAGGGTGAGACTTTTGACGCCTTTTATGTACGTCTTAAGAGAGCCTCGGAAGAGGTAGATATATGTCTAGGCCACCACCAGCAGTGCCAGGAGACCCAGTTGAAGCAGGTGATCCTGATGGGTGTTAAGGACGAGGAACTTGTCCAACGCCTCACCTCCCTCGACTCTTCCTCTTCTCTCAAGGATGTGTTGACGATATGTCGCTCCTATGAGGCTGCCAGGTGTGCCACCTCCGCCATCCGAGCTCCCCCTACAGCTGTACGCGCTGTGTCCCGGTACAAGAAGGACAAGAAGTCTGCTCCTATGCCTTCGCCCACCACGTCCACGCCCGGTTCATTTTGTAACAACTGTGGTAAGCAGCATGGAACACGGGTGTGTCCAGCTGCTGAGTCTACATGCAACAGTTGTGACCGTAAGGGCCACTGGTCGCTCACAGTGCGGTGCCCAGCTAAGTACGTACAGTGCAATGTGTGCGGTCGTCTGGGCCACTATGACAAGTGTTGCCCTACCCACAAACCCAAGGGACAGCGTCGGCGGAAGCTTCAGCGCCCTTCTACCAGTGAGGGCCGCCCACAGTCGCCAAATCAGAGGCACGACGACCCTGGACAAAGCCCGACCCATATTAGGAGGGTGTACTCCTCGCATCCCAGGACCAAAGTTCCCCAGTACATCAGTGTCATCGTGACCTATGGCAGTGTGTCATCCCGTCTTCAGATGTTGCCTGACACCGGCGCTGATGCTACAGTCATCGGTCCCCAGCATTTGCAATGCTTGGGGCTCTCTCCAAGCGATCGAGGACCGCCTCCCACGGACCTCTGCGTCACGGCAGATGGTTCACAGATGGCCCCAGCCCTAGGTTCACTCTATGCACAAGTCACCTTTGGCAACAGGTCGTGTCAAGCCTGGA